CATGGGAAGGGTCAGATTGCCAGTTAGAAGGCATACTACAAAATTCCTTGAAGGCTTTGCTATATGAAATGGATTATGGGAGTGTGCCAATACTATGCTATAGGGAGAGGAATCGAAACCTTGCTACTGTAGGCGTAGTTGCTGGGTCGAGGGGTTGATACCCTGAGTGCTTGATTTATATTTATCATATTTTGGTTTTATGCATATATATATATATACGCATGTATTCTTGTGCTTCATTGGGAGAGTGAATGATTTTGTTGTTGCCCAATTATTGGGTCGAGGGGTTGATGCCCGAGTGATTTAATTTGATGCCTATTTAACTAATGTCTTGCATATTTAGTTTATGATTAATTGTGTGAATGGGGTATATACAAAAACTAAGTGCTATCTAAAAGTGGAGGGACGCTTAAAAGGGAGAACTGGGCTGTGACCGAATATGGGATACAAAGAGAAAGTCGGGAGTAAGTATTTAGCGCGAAGGAATAAGACAATGAGCATATGGGATATGTTGGGTGAGAAAGGAAACAACGGGTGATACCTTAATTAATTTTAAAATGTTTAAAATTAGTGTCTGAATATAATTTTTGAATTTTTGAATTTTTATTTTAATGTATAAAATTTAATTTTTAAATTGTTAATTAATGTAAAAATGAAGAAAATTAAATGGAGGATGAAATTAAAAATAATTTTAAGAAAAATAAGTGAAAATTTGTGTTCTAATGGTATTTTTGAAAGAAAATTCGAAAATTGGGGGTCAAAATATAATTTAAAAAATTATGCCACGTCGGAAGCCCAGTCAGCAGTTCTGACGAACTGGAGTGCGCCACGTGGTAAGGGACGCTGATGCGGTGCCACGTCGGCGATCTGCGTGCCCGCAATCGGACGGTCTAGAATCGTTCCCGTGCACACGGACGGTCCGAATCTATTTCCTCCCCAGACGCGATCGGATCGTTAGATTTAAACGCGATGAATAGTTCAGATCCACTTCCTATTTAAACACGATCGGACGATTCATATTAAATTGCGATGAACAGCTCAGATTAAAAGAGGACGGATATAAATAACCCTATTCACATCAAAGTCTAACCCTAGCTGTCAGGACCCCCCATCGGATAAGAAGACCCAGTCACCGGAAGGAAGCCAACCTCCACCGCCACCACGTCGGAACCACTTCCAATTGCCAAAAGAGGTAAATATTTTTTCATTTGCTCGAAATTCGATTTTAAATACTCTCATGACCAAATCGGAGCAAAATAACCAGCGGATTGGCTGAAAATTACGGGCAAAGCTCGGCGGCACCACCGCGTCAAATTATAAAAACTGCCTCCGATGAGGCCCTTCCCGATTCCCATTATGCGTAATTCTTCCACCATTTTAATCACAATTTCTTTCTCTATAGGTTGACTGAAGCAAAACACCCAACTGCAAAGGTAAGTCGGCAGAACTGCCCTCACCAGAGAACCTTGCCGCCGGTGAGTTTTAGTTTTTCAATTTTTTTGGACCAACCAATGCCTCTTAACGAGTTTTCTTGCAGGAATTGATACAAAACCGTCTGAATTCGACAAAAAATAGTTGAAAATAGTCGACCCGAGGTAAACCACTGCGGCGAGCGACAGTGCCGTCACCGGAGCACGACAGAGACGCCGTGCCAAAATTTTGGAATTCACCAAAAAAGGGGTCTTAACACTTTGGATTTTTTGAGATATTTTTAGGTACTTGAAGTATGTTTTAATCCCTGAAAGAAAATTAAGGGAACTTAGAGACCGCCAGTAGGCGTAGTCAATAAGTTTAGTATTTTAGGTATCAATTTGAGTAAGAATCCATCGCTTTATTCTCTATTATGGAATTGAAATCTAATTAATAAAAATAATACGGTATTTTGGGCAATTTAGAAAATATCCATAATTAATTACAAGTTATTAATGGAAACAGAACCGAAAGTTATTCACTGTTGATCCTGTTGATTTATTTTATAATTTGAATGCATGATAATACCTTATTGATTGATCTTATAATTTAAATGCATATATTCCTTGCTTCATGTGATTATGGTTGAATTGAGAAACTAAAAATTAAAAGTAATCGAAAAATTATTTGATTAAGTGAATGGATGAAACAACAGCCTTACTGGATATCATGTGAGATAGTGGATGGACCGAGTACATAGGGAACCCTACCGTGAACGTTACCTCATACCGGACGGGGTATCGAGATTTAGTAATTTGGCACTCATACCGCACGAGATATGAGGATGACCTGTTTCACCCTCATACCGGACAGGGTGTATTGAGGTTTAGTAATTTGGCGCTCATACCGGACTGAGTATGGGGACAACACTGTTAATTGAAATTTTAAAGGAAAAAGTTAATGCGTTGTGGGGACATCCTCATGGACCCCCATGGATATCAGTAGGCTAATAAAAGAAAAAATTGTTGTTCTAATCAATTGCACATGAAATTATAATATGTGTATGTTATTGCCTTTATAGGTTGTTTTTTGTAAATCTTGCTGCGGTAAGTAGACGGTAAATAATTTTATTTATGATAAATAATTTTGCTTAATTAATAGCTCTATTAGTTGTTTTTATGATTTCTATCAACCTTTATTTCTGTGTCGATGAGTAATGTAATATTTTTACTAGACTATAGTAGCTTTTTCTTTCATTAATCATTTCGGATCAAGAGGATTAGGATCCAGAATCCGATCCATAAGACGATTGTGAGTAGGACGTTCAGTTGTTTACTTTTAATTTATTTCCTTACTTATTAGTTGTTCTTTTAGAAGAGTTAATCTCATAAGCCATATTTGATAATTTAGTTATTGTGTAAGGAATGTAAACTCTAACTATTTATTTTGCTCTCGCACTAAATTTATAATTTATTTCATTTGGAATTTTCGGGGTCGTTTCACAACGAGACAGTCTCAGAAAAATGGGAAGAGAGAGAAAGAGTGTGTGTAGTGAAAAATGTTGAGAGAGAGGGAGTGTGTGTAGGGGTATTGGGTTAAGGGCACTGGATAAGAATTATCTTGGAAACAGACGAGTTATAATCGATAAGATTCACCGTGAACCTAGTGGAAAGGAATCCAGTGATGGATAATAGGCAGTGAGAGAGTGAAATTAAATATGATAGGTAGGACAATACTCGGTACTCGTAATTTAGTTATAAATCTTTTCTATTTGTTAGTGTGAAATTCAAATTTTACTTACTGAGTATTGTAACATATTATGTAGTATATTATATAACAGGTCAAATAAGAGTAGGAACCGAATATATTATAAGCGTGCCTCCAGACTTAGAGATGAACCGAGAGATACAATATTATAGATTTAATCTTTTAAATTACATCATGGTATCGAATTGATATTACCATACATACTCACATGACTTAGATATGGTACTCTTTTACTGTTTGTATTTGTTTCACATAATACACTATATCTATAGTGGAATTTGAGAGTTTGAATAGATGAGAAATTGAGTGTGTATATATATATATATATGTGAAATTCACGCGAATGAGAATGTTTAGTTAGTTGTTTTGAGACATGGTGACTTTATCGAGTCAAAATATGAATGGAAAATAAGGATGGGTTGGGATGACAATCAACCCTCATATGGCAAGGGTTGTCACATTCATTGTAAAAAGTTAGTTAATTGAAAAACAAAACTTTTTCAGTGTATTTTTGAGAAAGTTTAAAGTATTAAAAATATATTTTGTAGAGTAACAAAATATTTATAAAAAATATAAAATAAAATCTTAAATTTATAAATTTAAATAGATAAGAAAGCATGTCACAAATGGTGGCGCAGAGGACAAAACTCTATAAAAAATAATATTTTGTAGCCTATGTTAACGTCATCTGGGCTTTGCTAATTTTATAGCCCAGTTACTTTATCTGGATTATGCACAAAGCTACTTAGCCCATTTTTTGGATGTATAGGAAATTCATGTACTATGGAGTTTTTCTTAAGCCTTGATAAAATATTTTATACTTGCTCAAAAAAAAATTTATACAATTTTTGTAAATATATATATATATATATATACATGTTTATAGTTTTAATAACTTCAATTGTGTTTATACGAAGCATTTCAATATTTTAGAATTTAATTATCATATTATTATCAAATCTATTTAAGTTAAGTGACAAAATACAAGACAGTTAACTATTTGAATGTAAATTTTATCTCGTACTCAATCTATAAAAAAATTTTATTTGTGTTACGTTAAAAAAACGTTGAAAATGAAATTAAATAAATGTAATGTGTGATAAAGTAAATTTATTAAAATTGAGAGTAGGATGGAGTAATATTAATTTATTACATGATGATATCATATGCTATATAAATATAAATATATATATATATATATTGATCAAGTATACATCATGGTTTTGTTAATATTTAATAGAAGTTGTATTAAATTTCATAGAAAATGCTTGTCCCATGACTAAATCTGCATGCTCCATGTTTATGCCTGCATTGCAAATATTTGCTACCACTCTTGTATACTTCATTCCATATCTTGATGACGATGAGGACCATCCACAGTTCTTCTTCAAACTCTTTATCTGCACAACATCATTTCCATTACTTTTTTTATAAAAAAAAAATAGGAAAAGATTAATTTAATCTACCTATAATACCATTTTATTTAAATAAGAATATTTAAAAAATAAAAAATTTATAAATAATCATAATAACGTCAGAAGTATAGATTATAATAGGTCGAATTTAGGGTAAGTTTTATGAAATTTGACCTTATGTAACTTTAAATATTTAAAAATTTAAATTTATCTCGATCTAAAGTAGGTTTAATAAGTTAATTTTGGGTATAGTTTGACCCATTTTTCGTTTTAAAATTTATATTATTTATACATTAAGTTTTAAAAGTATATATTATATTATTATTTTGTTAATTAAAATCGAAACATACTATGTATTTTCTCTATTAAAATATATTATACATAAACATCAAATTATGATATATGTTATATAATTTTTAATTAAAATTAAAAAAAATATTATGTATTACTTAGTTGAGTCTAATATGATCCAATCTTATTCAATTTTTTTAACAAAATAATTAAAAAGAAATTATAGGAATTCAAAAATAAGATAAACATACGTAGGATTATTTTCATAAATCACTATTTATTAATTAAAAATTTCAAGAACCTAATTAAAAAATTACCAGTGTTTTAAAGCAGTCCCAATCTTGGACAAGAGGGTGCCCGGCTGGTTGAGTCAAAGTCAACATTTTAGGACCATCTTCTTCACCGAGCAAAAGCATTGCAATTTGTTTAATGCTGTAATCGATTTGCTTTCTGTAAAAAATTTCATCCTGGAGTTTCTTTCGAGCTTCGTTTCTTGCTTCAGAGTTTTTTGGAGCTTTAAGAAACTAATTAATTGAATATTTTTCATTAATATTAGTAACCAAAAGGACCAACAAATAATATAAATTAATAAAAAGTTTCACACATATTTATATATATATATGTATGTATATACCTCGTGCTGGAAATGGAGTAATTCAGCATCATATTGAGAGACAAGTCTCGTAGAATGAGAGAATATTTGAGGAGGCTTATGTTTTACGGGATAATTTTCTCCTAAATAACCAGAGAGAAAATCATTTGCAATATCCAAGCTTCCATACTGCATGACATGAGAACCCATCTCTTTATTTGTTGTTGCTGTTCTATTCTTCACCTGTAAATTATTAATTAATTAAGTAATTTGTTAATAATCATTTCCCTGCCGGGGGAATTAAGAACAAACATATATATATATATATGTATATAGTTACCACTTTGTATTGTTCTTTGAGAGTTTCTTTACTGACATCATGCATATCACTGCTCAAAACAAAAGAATCAGATGTGTGAGAATATATATATATATATATATACATATGTATTTACATGGTTAAAAGGGTATCAAAGTGTGCATATATGTATGTATATGTATATATACCTATCTTCCATCCAGGAAATACTGAATAAATCTCCCAAACAGGTATCATATTCAGGAGGAATATCTGGAGTATCTCCTGGACAGTAATATCCCCAGCTGCTTTCATTTGGATTTGCTGCTGTCACTGCATATATATTCATATTGTCTGGAAGAAGACCATCAAAAATGCTTCCAGATTCACAAGCTTCCACGTAAATTACCTGAAATTATCATTTAATTACACCACATATATACGTGTAAATATATATATCTATTTAATAATTATTACCATCTTCTTGTAACTCTTAGCTTCGTGCTTCTTCTTCAGCACATGTATGAAATCTTTTGCTGTGACTTCATCTTCATAACTAGGCATCCCTAATTACAGCAGGTATGTTAAAATATTTTCTTAAATATATATATGCATATATTATATTAATATCTATATATATGTACATATAATTACCCAGATATCCAGGAGATCCATGATCAGCATAGTATATGAAAATATGATCATCTGGGCCACTGTCTACAACCTTACCACTACCACCAGTAAGAGCAGTCTTGTTTCCAAGGATTACAGCAAAAAAGTTATTGGAATTGACATCATCTCCTGTATAATCCTACACAATATTATAAAAAAATTTATTAAAAAAATTATCAGTTAATCACAATGCTAATTACATAAATGTATATATATATATATATATATACCTTGGGAACTCCATGATAAACATCTTTACCAAGAGGGTTGTTAATGACAATTCCAGGCCTTGGATTTTCTTGGCTGAATGCAATATCATCATACATGAAAACTATGATGTTCTTATCATCCAATCCACCACTCTTTAATATTTGATATGCATGACATATATCAGCCTGTAATTTAAATTCAGAAAATATATATATATATATATATATAACCCAAGTTACTTTTGTTGTATAACATAATTGATGATTAGCATCAACTAACTTATATAATTAAAATAAACAAAGTTTATTTTTCATGTTCTCAGTGGCATCAGACCAAATAATTTTTAGACTGGAACTACTTATTTTTAATGTGAATTAAAGTACCATATGAAATATATAATGATCAAGACTAAAATGTATAAGCATAATTTACTTGATGTCTGTAGTTTTCGTAGCCACTCGACCCGGCAATTAGAACTGCCCATCTTTTCCCTTTGCCTTTCGTCTGTTTCGAGTCGGTGTTTGTATATTCATGACTTTCGATACCTAAACTTAATAGCAACAATATTACGAATATAAACCTACCAGCAGATCCACTAGAAATCATTTTCACAGTACCTGCAATTTGTTCTTGTTTATTAGTATGTTTAAGGAACTTATTCAAAGTTTAAAAGTTGTAAAATAACCGAGTCAAGCTTTGTAATAAACGAAAACCTAAAAACCCTAATTCAACCTATTTCTGGGTTGCATTAGTTATTTGGAACGATAGTAGACTGATATTATATATATATATGTGTGTGTGTGTGTGTATATATTGAGAAGCAAGAGGTTAATGGCGTAGAAAGAACAGGAATCCCAAAGGTAAAGAAACAGTCCAAAACCAAAAACACCACAATACATGAGAAGAAAGTACAAACGAGTCCAAGACCAAAAGGAAAGAAAGACAAAAAAAAAATGACAACTGATCAAACATTACAAGAACATGAAAAATATCACTCGGGTGGGCCCCATCACCCGGATATATCAATATATCAGAAATATATATATATATATATATATGTATATGTTGTATAAGACTAAACATTGATTGTTAGATGCTATTATAATGAATTGAATTATATAGTACATTTAATGGAGCATCACTAATGATTGATTTAGAATTATAATATATGATTGAAATATGATCATTTTCTTTATAATGCATATCTTTACACTCTCTGTACTCATAATATCTTCATCATTCATATCATTTTTTTTTCTGGTTTAATCATTTTGATCTCTTACCTAGGATCAATCTCCCACTCTCACACTTCTTTTTGTTCTAACACTCCGCACTCAGTTCCGCACCGAACTCAAAAGTATCGAGAACTAAAATTATTTAGTTGATCGAACAAATTATTTCAAAATTTTAAACTAATTTTAAAAAGAAATTAATTATTTATACTATAACACATATTCTAAATTCAGTAAAGTAAGAACATTGATTGAAAGCGTTTTCCTCATCAAAATTTACAGTCTACCATGCTTAAATTTCAAAATTTGCTTTCACCTATTACAACGGTAAATGAATGCAACATACAAACGTTAATGAAAACAGTAATTAATTAAGAGATACATACATATACATATATATATATATAGAGAGAGAGAGAGAGAGAGAGACAAGGATATTACTTGCCAAGAGAATTGCAGAAATCTGTATAACCAAAACCTTAGAAGTTGGCAGCACTCACTGAAACTGTTTAAATTTTTTTTTTTTTTTTCTGGGTTAAGTACTCTTAAACTGGTTTATACAAAGTGTGGGTGGCGAGGTGGTATATATATAACTTGAAAGATGAAAATGGACGGTCAAGATTAAATCTTTATTAGCTGGGTGATGAGCAGGATAAGCCTAAAAGCATAACGCTTAGCTTCGTCATTACCCTCTTTCCACGTACATACACCATGAAAACCTTGAAACCTCCGTCATTTTCTTTTTCTTTGTTTTTTCTTTTTAAATTGTAACCTCCGCCATTTGGAAGCTTTCTAATTTTCCTCCTTTAATCACTTACTCGTTATTCATGCCTCTCTAATATCCTAGCTTTCTTTTTTTGGGTCAATAATTATATCTTTGTATTTTCATTTTGAGTAAAGAACTTTTTTTATTTCATAGTTTTTTTAATATGGGTGTAAACAAAAAAATAATTTAATGGGGTTAACCAGTCTGGTCTATATATATATATGTGTGTATATATATGTTTTCTGATATGAAATAACTATTTGTTTGCATTTTCATTTTGAATAAAGACATTTTTTTCATTTCAGAAGTTTTTTAATATGGGTGTAAACGAAAAGTTAATTTTATGGGGTTAAAAAGTCTGGTCTATATACATGTGTGAGTGTATATACATGTATGTGTTTTCCAATATGAAATAACTCTTCCTTTTTATAACATATTTCATATAGGTTCCGAGCCATGCATGCCCACTAATTTTTCTTGCTTTACTTGCTCATTATTATTCATGCCTCTCTAGTATACATTTAACTTGTTTTCTTTGATCAGTCACTCTTTATTTCTATGATTTCATTTTTAGTACAAAAAATTTGTGTGTTTCATAGTTTTTTTAGATATGGGTATAAGCGAAAAGATAATTTTATTAATTAAGAAAGTTGTATGTGTGTGTATATATGTGTGTGTGTGTGTGTGTGTCTTCCATTAAGAAATTAATTTTTTCTTCTTAAAACATTTTTCTTATTTGGGGATGAGTCTATCTCAATATTTTGTACACATAACATACACTAAAAATCATTAACTTTTGTTTAATTACTTTTAACTTTTGTTTAATTATTACTCGGTATGTTGTTAATGCGTGTAAGAGTTGAATTAAAATTAGTTTGTTTTCAATCAATTCTAATTCTATATCATTAAGCAATAATTAATTAGTTAATTAATTATTTAAAAATTTAAACTCGTAACATATGAGATATAAAAATAAAGTTTTTAAATTTAACACGTGAAGTCAAATTCAAGCAAGGTGGTTAATGAGAGATATATGGATTTTGCACGATTTAAAGTCTAATAAATGATTATAAAATTAGCGACCAAATACTAAAAGGAGATGAGACAATGTTCTTGAGATTTGAATATAAAATTTCTATTTACAATACTCTTTTAACCATAAATTAGAACGATTATTCAAAAAATATAATATGATAACTATAAAAAAATAATTTATCATTTATATTTTAACGTGTTAAATTTATTAATAATTTTATAACGATTATTTATTTATTCAAAAAAAAATAATAATTTCTCAATAAATTTATAAAAGTTGAGACGAACAAATCAATATAAAAATTACCATATAGTTTCACATATGAGTAATGTTTTAATCAAATAAAATAATAATATAAAACAAATTAAATCCAAATGCCTGTAAATTTAAAATTTATATAATAAGTCAAATTATGGGAAGTGAGAAACATAAAAAAAAAAAAAATCCTAGAAGGATTTTCTTTGGATTAGTGTAAGTGAAAAAATTCTATTTATTTTGTGAACGAGACAACCTACTATAAATCCAATATTGAAAACAAGGTTAGTACTAAATCTCTTAAAATTTTGAGATTTAAAATTTAAAGTAAAGCTTTTATCATGAAATGAGTATCCCGTTTTAGAACTACAAAGAACTATATTAATTAAAAAAAAGTTATTACTTTAAAAAATGACTATGTAGAATCGTGTTTGATACTTTTTAATAAAAATTTCATATTTACATTCTCTATATAAAAGTTAGATCTATATTTATTATTCTTATCTTCCTTTCAGGTAGATCGTTTGAGAGAAGGTTTTAGTGCTTTAGAACTTTCATTAATTTTGAGAGAATAAATGGTCGAATAACGTGACTCTTAAATTGTGTTTTTTTAGAATTTTCACTTTACCTTTCAACAAAGTGAGCAATGTGAAATTTTTTTTTTGAAACAGTAATTCATCTTGGGTGTAAGGTTGACATTAAGAGGCCCTTACTTGATTAAAATAATTGTATTTGGGTTTTTTTTATGAATGATCTAAACAAACTTATGTTGCATGTAAAAGATGGTGATAAACTAATACAAAAGCTAGACTCAAGATACATTTTCTTTACCATAAGTGTAAAATAATTATTTTCTCGAGATCTTGTTCTTTTATCCTATGCATGTTAACTAATGGAGTGAGTTTGCCACTACTAAAGGAAAAATTTTCTTTGGCAACTTTTTTTAGGAAAAGAGAAATGAAAGTAAAACTATGCAAAATAAATTATTTCTATTGGATGATATTCTATGTTCTCTTAACTTAAGCTTTACAAAATCTTGTGAATGTTTATTTGTTAATTATATTATTTTTATAGAAGCACGTCATTTTTTCTTTAAAAAGTAGATTTCATAAAATCCTTTTAAGGTACATCAGGTATTTTTACATATCTTATTCATCATTTGGGTTTCATGTGAACTCAAAAGTAGTTTGTGTCTCAATAGAATTTAATTGATATGAACGATATAAACTTATTTAGTGAAAAAATGCATATAGGTTTTTCGAGATTTTCTCAATAATGTCTACATATGATAATTTTATGATTAATATGGAACACAAAAATCTTAAAAGTCTCTAAAGTTTCTAAATTCTCAATTTTTTTATTTAAATAACTGACTGAAATTCAATATTGATAATTTTACTATAAACATGCTAATTACATTCCTTAAATCATATTTCTAAAAAGTCATTTTAAAGAATGAATTTATTATATATCTTTTTTACAGAAAATTTTTATATTATTTTAAAAAGATATAATGCAATATTATTTTTGATAAATGCTAAATAATATCTTAGATTATTCGGCTGATTTCAATTTCTAAATTTGTTCAGTGATTCATGGAGAGAAACCCTCTTTATTCTTCTCTCATTTTCACCTAATTTTTTTTCTATTCTTTTATTATAATATTGTCATATTTTGTTCAAGTTTATAATAATTTATAAAATTTTCATTTATTATAATTTTAAAATTAAAGAAATTTATATTTTTTTTAAATGCAATTTACAAAATCCTTTCGTCCTCTTGTACTCAACAAAAAGGGTTTTACAGATATAGGGTTTAGTCTTCCATTCTCGTCATCTTCATGATCAGTCGGTCACCATGTCCACCAAATGCTTTCCAGTTCCTCTGGATTCCAAATCTCCCTCCCTAAGCACTGGGCTTTCTCTATCCTTTCTGTATGCAAACCCTAGTTACCTCTCCTTTCCTTCCAAATTCCTTCATCATTCACTCCCGCTCCTCCCCAAATCTCGCTATTACACGCTAGCCTCATCTCTACCCCATCAAAACCCCGCACCATTGCCCACCAACCATCTTTCCCTCGCCCAGGATTCAATTTCCCAATTTCTGCACGATGAACTCAGTGTTTCCGCCGAGGAATCTCATTCCATCGCCTCCGCTTCACCCAAATACGCGCAGATGATCGTCGATAGCGTGAGGGACTTGGAGGAATGGAATTCATGGAGAGGAAGTGGAGAGGGAGGTTTTGACGGGTTGAATGGGGAGTTAGGGTTTAAGGAGAAGGTGATTTTTATGGTCAGGGAGAAAGGCGATGGTGGAAAGGTTGCCTTCTTGGAAAGCGTTGGCTTAAGTCTCTCTTCTGCAATGGCTCTTGCTCGTTACCTCTCTTCTGAGTCGCTTCTCTCCCTCATTGACAAGGTCAGCTTTAAACGAGAAGTATCCCCTGCATTATCATTTCTTTATATACACAAGCACGTGTATGGAGATACGTATAGCATTTATATAATCGTTTATATGTTTAGTTTTCTGTAAAATGTTTTTACACACATACAAATAAAGGTAAACCATAAGCACGTCGACTTTTTCTTATCGTCGTGTCTTAACTGAGTACAACATTTATATGGAACTATAATCTTTTTATTCAGAGCAGTACTAACAAGCTGATGCAGGACAAATTTAGTGATTTTTAGATATTGCTACTTAGAATTTGGATTAAATAACAGAACACTAAGAAGCATTCCACTAGTGCTCCCTCGAGCAGAGTTTCTTGTGCATCACAGTTGAAGAGTTGATTGTATCATACAACCAAATCATTGAGAAAATTCTCATAATAATTTATATTCAAAAATGATTGAGGTCAAATTAAATTGATGCAAAATGGATCAGGTTTAGATTTTCTGAAAAAATAATAGGTTATAAAACTTTCAAATGTACAAAAATTGTACTATTTATGAATCTATTATTATATTGAAAAATGATATTCCAAAGATATTAGTTATCTCAAATCTGCAACAATTGAGCTATTTATGAATCTGTTATTGTTATATCAAAATATGATATTACAAAGATATTTATAATACTGATGCATCACACTTTTCCTAGCTCAATTCTAACTGTTATGAATATATTGGTGATAATGTTTATAAGAGGATATGAATATCTCCAATACTTCCAATTGCTGATATTTTCGAGTACTATCCTCCTGATGAGTTTTCTTGGAAACCATAAAATTTGGGGAAGGGTTTTCTTCAAGAGGAGGGGATTGATGCAACACACTTCTCCAAGTTCAATTTTAGGCATTTCTTATTTTGCATCACGCCATCCTTGGGTCTCATAAGAAGGCACAAGTTGGTAACTTGTGGTTGCAACCTGATATGAGCCACTTGAACCTAGCACCTAAAGGACCCATACAAAATAATGCTATGTCAAAAGTAAGACATCACCTCATCCTTCTAAAAAGAAAGAAAAATAAAACAAACAAAACAAAACAGAGAAAGGTATAAAGAACATAGAAAGGACATTTAACTTCTATTCTTGCGCCTATAAGTAAGTCTAAATTTTTTTGGTGCTTGCGATGGTTTCTCGTTAGTTATTGTCATTCATTCTTCTAAAGATAAGTAATTACATATTTTGTGTGTAATTTGTTATCTCTTCTTAATAGATAGGCAGTTGCATTAGGCTACTGGCAAATGGCACCTGGTGTTTACTATAACTTTTCGTGTATTGGAAGTTCGCCTCTATTAGGACATGAAAAGGTTTTCTATTTTGTATTTTCTATAATCATATATGGTACACTAAAAAATATGTAAAATAGTTGAAAAAAAATGGTACTTAGAGAGCATAAGTGAAAATACCACATGAATTTGAACACAATAAATAGTTATTTTTAGTATTTTCTATAAAAATTTAGATGAATTACTTTGCAGAATATGTTTAAAAGAATTTGATGAACCTAATCGAGCCTTAGTTTTCCTTTTCTTGAATATGATTAATGATTAGAGTGGGTGCTTCTTTTTTGAAAAAGAAATGTCACTAGTTTTCTAGTATGTCTGGACTGAATTTATTTTTCTTGAAGAGTCTAGCCAGTGTTAATGCTTATTTGGAATTTGGCTTTTAGGTTAAGTATATGAAGGAAATATTCTTTTCTGGCAGTGATGATGAAGGGCTTGCTGGGAAAAATGCTCGTCGAATGATGATGTTCCTGTCAATTCCTGTAGATGATGATTGCAACAAACACTATCGTTTTTTGAGAAGGTCTAATATGTTCTCAGATTATTAGATTTCCGTCTTTTTCATTCTTGTTGGTTTGTAAATTTTTTTCTTCTCGTTTCTTCTATTAAATTTCTTTATGGTTTTTTCCAAAGAAAGAAAATAAAATCTGCATGGTTGTGTTCTTTTTCCAATGTGTTAAAATCTTTGGCTTTATAAATCACAGGTTTTTTCCCCTTCAATCTGCAATTTAGGATATTTTCTTCAGAATTTAAGAAGTTTTGATTTGTAAAAGAACAGCAAAACTCTAAATCCTTGGGTTTCTAAATCATTGAAATAAGCAACATAAAGGACTGTGCAAGATGTTTCTTGAAACCCCATCCCCCCACCCCAGTGCCCCACAAACACGCACGCAATCTTGGGGTTCTTATCTTCTTCTTGTGTTCTGAGATGAATCTGAAACTTGTAATTTAGATAGATGCAAGACGCGGAGGCTTAGACATGGTGGGTCGTGCAGATGCGTCTTTCAGATTCCTAGTCGAATCACTTCCCCGTCTTCTCTTGTTATCGGTAGAATCCCACTTGAAACCAATGGTGGAATTTCTTGAAAGTATAGGAGTGAGACAAGGAAGCTTGGGGAAGGTACTTCTGTTGTTTCCTCCCATTATATTCTGCAACATAGAGGAGATTAAAAGAAAGATATCAGCTTTGGAGAAGGTATCTTCACATTTGCAGTCCTGAGTATAGTTTATTCATTTTTTTTTTGTTTATATTTTTGCATTGGAAGACCAGTAATTTGTTAATTAATAATGCTCTTGCGCCCTGTATTGTCTTTTTCTGATGGAACATCTCTTTGTACCAGGTTGGTGCTGTTGATAATGATGTTGGTAAAATGGTGCTTAAATATCCATGGGTACTTTCAACAAGCATTATGAATAATTATGAACAGATCCTTTCTTTTTTCAATGCTGAAAAGGTACAGTATATAGATTTTTTTTTGAAATAAAAGTACAATATTAGTATTGAGTAATGGTGCCAAGGGGACTCCATCTGAATACAAAAGATTTACAAATTAGTTAGCATATCAACAATGTAGCTTAAGTCATCAAGACAGTCAATGGTCATGCTGCTGATTGCTATATCTTTGCGTAGTAGAGTTGTGTAATTTGGGTAGGGCATTTAGCATTTGTGGAGTTTGAATCTGATAACTCATTGCCATAATAGAAACTTATTATTTAAGAAGTTTACTGTTTAGTTATTTCCAATTTATTATATTTGTTTTCATAAACTTTAGTATTCCTATTTTGTTAAAAATAATGCTCCTAAATTAGTTTTGGTATTTCCAGATCTAGTTTAGGAAAAATCTACTCAGCACGTTATTAAATAATGCTGTAACCTCTTGAGTAGATCATTCAAGTATTCAATAATATTTTTGAGAGTTTCTTATTTTGATTGTGACACTCAATCAACTCTCAGGTATGATATCTTAGAACCCTGTGATGCCTAAGAACTCTAAGTGTTGGTATCTAGGTTTTTTTCCCAATTTCTTAGTAGGTAAATTAACTCTAATTTGTCCTCATCAGGATCATCATGACATATACCTATTAGTGTGGTCTTTTGGTTTCATGCAAATACTATGTTGATGTTTGAACCCATTAACCGCAAGTTTAATTGAAAGTTTAGACCAATAATTTACATTTTTTTGGAGAAAATGAAAGAAAAATGGTTGACATATTATCCTTACCACTTTTTTTTCTAAATGGTGAGTTATATGGGGATGTTGGTTAATTTCTAGAAAGCATTCTCTCTTTGATGTCTATTTTAGTATATGAGCAATGAAAAGTTGGATAGATAAATGTAGGAGAGATTAAGAAGTGAGAAGACAAAAAATCACATATTTTGAGAGACTGTATTATATGTAAGCTGCTTACCGTCTTAGTTTTGTCCTCCCCTTATCTGTTCCATCAAGTGCTGAATTTGTTATCTATTTTCAATAATCCTCCTTCCTTTCATTATGTCACATTTATCATGCTAAGCATCAATATAGTAGTGTTGATTAGACTGTTGTGTCAGTTTTACCATGTTTACATATCCCATTTCATTTTTGATGCAAAATTTTAGTTTTGGTGAGATTTAAATCAATATTTTAAAACTTTTTTCTTTGGGATTCTTTCTCCTTTTCTTTTGGGGATTACCCCCTTTCTTCATGATTATTTTGTATAATATACCACATTAGTCAAGTGTGATGATTTATCTTAGGTACCGAAAATGGATGTTGATCGTGCAATCAGAAGATGGCCTCATTTACTGGGTTGTTCAACAAGCAAATTAAAGCTGATGGTGGATCAGTTTGGAGAATTAGGTGTCGGGAACAAGAAGTTGGCTAAGGTTATTATAAAAAGTCCACACCTATTACTACAAAGACCCCAAGAATTTCTCAAGGTTGGTTGTTGCTCTTTGTTTGTTTGTTTTTTTTTCCGTTTCTGCTGAAGTCCGTCCATTTTATTTCCCTGTCTTCATTCCAATCACTCCTCTATCTAGTAGCTTAGTTCCATTTCTTTATGATATGATGTGGTTCCTTTGTTTCAGTACTATCTGCATTGCTGATTACAGAGATCCTTAATTCTGAGCAAAAGAAATAGTAAGATCCTATACCGATTGTGTTTATCTCTAGGAAGCATCACCTTTTTGTTAATAGAAAACGAGTTATTACTGGAAAGAGAGAGAATTACAGCATGGAGGATTAGGTGATGTAGAACAAGAAGATATTAATTTGGATGACATTTTCTATCAAAGAAGAGTTTTTAATTGCTATTATTTGGTATCTTTGTTTATTTAGTTTATTTAGGTAAAGTTTAAGTTATTATACTTGGTCTCTCTACTTTAGAAGATTCTTCCTAGGGTCGTTTTGGATCATCACCCCATTTATTTGGAGCTCAAGGGTCTCAGTTGGGGCCCTATCCCCTTGAGGATTAAAAATAGATGATTTAAGGTGGAAAGCTTCCAAACTTTGATCCGAGCATGGTGAGGTGAGTAAAAAATGAGGGGCTTTGCTATCTTCATATTGGCCAAGAGTTGGCTCGTGTTAAGATACCTGCATAAAGGAGTTAAGTATTCCTTTGCTGGTTTCTCTTTTTATCTGTGTTTGTTTTTCTTGTTATCATACACGCCAACTTATTCTGTTTTTTACTTTTTTCTTCCTCTACATTTCTTCACTTTGATCCTCAATTTTGTTCGATCCATCTTTGCTCTTCTTTTTGTCACCTAAAATTTTTCTCTTTCTAAACTATCTATGAGATAAGATCCTCAATGGAAAGAATGTGTCCTTGAAAATCTTAGCATTTCGCTTCAAGCATATGAACCAGCAAAGAAGATCCCGCTACATAAAAGTTTAACCTCCTTCTTTCAACACTGTAAAGGAGAGGAAATGAGACCCGCCAGATGAGAAGGGATGGGCCCAGAAATGGAAAAAGTATAAAATAAACGAGTACAATAACCTCCAAGCCATGTATAACTAGAAAAAGATGATTGTGAGACTCAATTACTCTATGACACATTAGACACCCTAGGTGACAAATGACAATTCATCTTGTGTGTTTGAAGCAAATAATTCGTATATAATTTCTTTAAAATTGCAGGTCAAAAGAAAACCTTTAATGTTTTAGGGAGTGGGCACCTTCTAGAAACATTTCTTGAAGACACCACTATGA